TCCCTACATGCAGCAATATGTTTCAACAAAGGATTTGGCTTCTGCTGACGGAAATATTAGTTCATGGTTAGAAGAACGCAATACTAAACTTCTTTTTATTTTAATCAGTAAGATAAAATACCTTAACTTCTATAAGATAGTAAGATATGATCATACCAATCTTAATAAAACAGATGTAACAGGGGTTATAAAGCATTCAAACCAGATTTCTGACCTTTTGCCTTTGAAATATCCAGGCAACTACAGTTTGCATCTCTTGTATTTTTCAGAGTCTATGTAAAGCTGAATAGAACCTTAGCACACTTATCCATCTATCTGCTACATTCAGCTTACATATTATGCATATTTTTATGCTAGTCTTCATGTATTTCCTTAATGATTTTAAACTACATATTACACTATACACTGCTAAAAGTATTACGACTAATTGATAAGTCTGTACTTCCTCACAGTCTTACTAAAATAATTCCAGTACTGCAGATTTCAGGTAGCGGAGACAGATGAACTACCAGACATTTAACTCAATACTTAATAGTAACACCAATATCTAAATGCATTTCAAAACATGAATGGTGACAACATAACAAGAAGTAATCAAGACGGAATTAAACATTTTTCTTGTTGATATTATTAAAAGTTAACACGTCCATTTTTTAAGGAGTTTAAAAACATCCATCGTTCCTCAACTAATTTGCTTGTTATTATTGGTAAAATATTGGTTAAAAACATGATGTTATTACCATGTTTTTCCAAGATGAATCCTTTTGAATGGGATCACTGAAAACTTCAAATCTGAAGATGATGCTGATTACCTTCTGCGTTTGTCATCTACTTACCTATGTATTTTAAAGGCTTTCATTTAGCAGCATCCTCTGACATTACAAAGTTACCCAAGGAAAGCAGATCATCATTGTTTTTCATTGAAACGTTATTAAAAAATACTTGTGCACATTAGTAACAGTGGCCATTCTTCAAATTAATCTTTTCTTTCTGTTTCTTAATCACACTACAGAGAGCGAAGAATTTTTTTCCAGAAAACAGCACTAACATTTCCTACAGATTTAGCATATTGGCTTTATTTTTCTAAATTCTTTGATGTGATAAATGGTTTTGAATATATATTATCCTTTCAAAGTGCTGATTAAATAACCTAATAACATCAGGAACTGAACTGCATAGAAAAATTTACATATAAAAGAATACATGAATCTGGGGGGAAAAAAATTGCATATGCTAAGAAACCTTAACCTATAGCTTACCGGTCATAGTCTCCATTACACAGTGCTCTGACAGAAATCTTGAATGCCTGCCACACTGGATTTAATGTATTTTTTATGACTTCTGTTTTGTGGCAGATTGTAAAACTGTAATAAAAGAAGACATATTTTGTATTTCTTTACTTTCTGTGTCATCAAACATGGTATCAAAAGAGTTTTAATCTGCATTCACTCATACAGTGTCCATATAAAATTTAAGATAAGAAAAAAAGAAATGCAGTGAGGACTGAAGAGGACAGACATATTTGAGAGAGATTACAGACTAGGGTGCTAAACAACTCTAAAACTAAAATGTTTTTACCCAAAACTTTGACAAGAATTACAACCATTCAGTGAGTTATTTCAGGTAAGAGCAGTTTCTATCCCACTTGTTTAAACAGGCCTTGTACAGCCATGAACCAGCCACAGATCCAGAAAGCAAGTGGTCTGGTAAGGATTTTACTCTTGCTTAGCAATTAAGAAAATGAGCCAAGGGTGTCATGGCTTTCTGATGCTTGTTCCCCATTTTATGTCTATGTTTTTTTAACCAGGGCTGTCTCAGGTAAAACATACCTGTTTCACCTCTGTGAGATCCCATGATCACCTTCTCTCAGGTGAAATACAATGAATTGCTTTAATGCATTTTGCTTTCTCTAAATGATGCAAAATTGAAACACTTCTTTTGAATCCTCACCTTGGGGACTGAATTGTTCAAAAGAAAATAGGAGGCAGTGTCACTGGTGAAATCACTATTGAAATTCTGTATACAGACATCACTAAAGTTGTCCTTTGAGGAAGTATCTTCTTTACGTGCCAAAGGCCTATTTTTTTATCCTGGCTATGATTCAGATGGAATGCCTGAAGCTAAGAGACAGAAAAGGGAGCATCCTTCTGCCCATGGGTGCGGAAGTACTGCCCCAGCCTCCTGCTGGATTCCTGGAAGGAAGTGGAGAAGCATGGCACTCAAGGCCAAGAGAAACTGCATATACCAGCACTCCCAGTAATGCCCAGACAAATTCCACTAATGACCTTAATGCCAGTCAAAAAGGAGCCGTAACGCCTTCAGGCTTGCAGTTTAAGATATTCAGCATTTATTCAGGAAGCTGTTCCTATAATCTGCCTCCGAGAGGAAAAGAGCAGGGAACAGACACACATATACCCATACAAAGGTTTATGTTAACAACAGTTCCAGTTAAGTTTCTGAAACAAGTAATATCATACATATCTAGCCTTTGGTTTGATACGATGTTATATGTGATGAATATCGGTTTCCAGGAAAACTTAACCTGCCATTAGACCCCCCACATCAGCAGTATGTTGACCAGAAGTTAACACGTCAAGGTCTTGGCAGAAGAACAGGAGAGATTAACTTACTTCAACAAATTAAACCATGAATGTAGCAAACAGCCACTTGTAAAAAAAAAATAGTTCTATTTAAGGTATTTTTGAATTCTATTTCCTAGAACTTGGTCAACCAGATAAAGATATTTCCAAATTTGCAGCATAAAATTTTTTTACCTAAAACAATTCCTAAGCATTAGCATATTCTGCAGCTACAATTTTCTTTGAGAATTCTATTTAATTTAAAGGTATGCTATATCATTGCAAAAGTAACGCTCTTCAACTATTTTTATTACAATTAATTTTCATAGTGCTCTATATTTATCATACATTCAACTCTTAAAACTCTGAGTTGCAGTATTTGATCTATTTGTTACAATAGTTTTATTCCTATACTGCATAATATGGTATACTTAAACCCAAAAAACATTGTAAAAGAAACACAGCTTAATCTGACAAATATAAAAAGATATGAAAACTATATTACATTCTGCAAATAACTAAGTTGCCTTCTGTTTAGCAGAAATACTTAAACAGGCATCTACCTTCCATCTTCATTGCTTCGATGAAATACAAGGAAAGGGTCAGATTTCCCAAAGAAGTCCTTCTTGTCTAGTTTGTTCGCACAAAATTGCATTAAAACTGAATCCTGAAATGGGTAATACAGAAAAATTACATACAGTATGCAGTTTACTACACTAAAATAAATCTAAAAAATCATTGACTAATAACCATACAAATAGAAAACAAAATAAATTAGGGTATCTGCCTTCTAGACGCCCTCAATATATTCAAATTCCTGCAATGTCCTTAGAGTGCAGTTTGAACTGCTGGAACTAAGAATTCCTTCAGAGGGGGGTGCAGAGGAAGGATAAATTTCTATGCTAACTGCCTCAGGATTTTTCCAGTATTTTCTGACATCCAAAATTGCATTCTGAGGGAAGTAAATGCACAGGCAAGGAACACGTATTAGAATTAATTTTAAGAACTCCAGTGAGACACAACTAAGCCTCATTCCTGCAGTGACTTAAACCTGCAGTTGTCTGCTCCTGCTGTCTGTAAGGCAAATGGCTTAGCTGCTTGCTATTCAGAGTTTAGAAGGTTCCAGAAAATGAGCTTGGAAGATACCAAATACACCCATTCTGATGACAAATAAGGAAAAAAATTCCTTTCCTGTGGTCAGGCAAACTGATAGTCACGTGTGGTCACCTCTTTGGGTAGAGTCAAGAATGCGAGAAGGATTATAAATGCAAAGATAAACCTGCAGGCTCACCAGCTAACTGGGGCAGGGCTTGCTGGAAGACTGTGTTCCATAAACAGGTCTACAGGTGTAACTGCAGCGAAAGGAAGACTAGGGAAAATGTGGGCTCACCACTGAGTGGGGCAGGGAAACAGGTGACAAAGGACATGGAAAAGTCCATGTTTCTCATAGCCTTCTATGCCTTGATCTTTACTGGTAAGATTTGCCTTCAAGAATCTTGGGCAACTGAGACCCAGACCTGCAAAAGTCTGGAAGAAGGATGACTTGCCCTTGGTAGAGGAGGATGAGGTAAGGAAACATTTAAGCCGACTGGACATACAGAAGTCCATGGGACCTAATAGGATGCATCTGTGAGTGCTGATGGAGTTGGCCAATGTCACTGTGAAGCCACTTCGATTGTCTTTGGAAAGTCATATGTTCAGTAGAAGTTCCTGAGGACTGCAAGAAAGAAAATGTCACTCCCGTCTTTGAGAAAGGGCAGGGAAGAGGACCCAGGCCAGTCTCTCCTCAATCGCTGAGAAGATGATAAAGCAAATAATCCTGGAAAACATTTCCAAACACATGAAAGACAAGAAGGTGGCTGAGAGACATTAGCATGGATTTACAAAGGGGGAATTCATGTCTGATCAACCTGAAGTTTTCCCTCATGAAATGAGTGGCTCAATGGATGAGGGGAGACTTGTAGGTGTTCTTTATCTTGACCTTAGCATAGCCTTGGACACTCTCTCCCATAATAACCTTGTTCACAAACTGATGAATTACAGACTAGATAACTGGACAGTGAGGTAGACTGAAAACTGGCTGAAATGTTTGGCTTCGAAGGGTCATGATCAGTGGCACAAAGTCCAGCTGGAGACCAGTCACTAGTGCTGTACCCCAGGTGTCAAAAATACAGCCAATAATATTTAACATCTTCATTAATGTCCTGGATGATGGGACAGAGTAGACCCTCAGCAAGTTTGCAAATGATATGAAACCAGAAGTAGTGGCTTATATACCAGATGGTTGTGCTGCCATTCAGAGACACTTGTACAGGCTGGAAAAAAAAACACACATAAACCACATGGAGTTCAGCAGAGGGAAATGCCAAGTACTCAACCTGGAGGGGAATAACCCCATGCACCAGTACAGGGTGCAGGCCAAACTGCTGGAAAGCAGCTTTGCAGAAAAGGACAGGGGGATCTTGGTGGACACCAAGCTGACCAGTGTGCCCTTGGCAGCAAATAAGGCCAACAGTCTCCTGAGCTGCATTAGGAAAGCTGATAGAAAGATGAAGGAAGTAACCCAGCACTGGTGAGGCCACTACCGGAGTACTGTGTGCAGTTCTGGGCTCCCCTATACAAGACAGACACGGACACACTGGAGCAACTCCAGCAAAAGGGTCACGAAAATGATTAAGGGAGGAGGAGGGGAGAGGTGAGGCTGAGAGAACTGGAATTATTTATGAGAAGAGAAGGCTCAGGGGGATCTTATCAATTTATATAAATACCTGATAGGAGGGAGTAAACAGACTCTGCTTAGTGGTATCCAGTAGAAGAACAAGTGGTAATAGGTACAAATTGGAATACAGGAAATTCCATTTAAATACAAGAAAAAAATTTTTTACTGTGAGTGTGGTGAAACACTGTGGAGTCTCCTTGGTCATACTCAAAACCTGACTGCACTGAGCCCCATGTAACCTGCTCTAAGAAGAGCAAGAGGGTTGAACCAGATGATCTCCCAAAGTCTCTTCCAACCTCACCAATTCAGTGATTCTAAAAATCTTTGCCGTTCTGAATATGACCCATAAAAGTTTGGCAAAAAATCTCAGAAGATCAAGTAAGAATTAACCTAAATACTGAATAACCCTAGGTAGGAAAATACCACAGGGAAAGCATGTGACAGCTGGTAAGCCAGAGCAAGAGACGGTGCGACAGAGTGTGCACATGAAAGAGCATGACAGAGAATGCAAAAGAGAGTACAAGAGAGAGAGACTGAGTCTCAAATTCTTTACAAGCTCCCTTCAGTGACTTTGAACTAGTCACCATCTCTGGAAACATTCAAGGTCAGGTTGGACGGGGCTCTGAGCACCCTGATCTAATTGAAGACCTCCCTGCTCATTGCAGGGGGGGTTAGAGTAGGTGACCTTTAACGGTCCCTTCCAACCCAAACTATTTTATGATTCTATGATTCTGTGATCATATATGTAAAATTTGAGTGGGGTGAATCTGGAAGAACATGAAGGCCTTGCAAGGCATCCAGTATTTGTCTTCATTAAAAGGGAAAGCAAAAAAAATCCCGTTTTGATTATGGATTTAACGACATATTTGTGACTTTTAAGTAGTTTGTTACAACTGGGATACCAATGCTGGTCTTGGAGGATAAACTCAGAATATCAGGAAGAAATTGCTTTTAGTCTCTTTTGAGGTTACCAATAAATGTTTGGGATGATAGCAAACATCTCTTAAGAATGGCAGGAGCTTAACTTAAGAAATGTAGAAGCACAATTTCTGCAGGAAAGCAATTAAATGATGTACCCATTTTGTCATCTGATAAAAGTGTGAACATTTGATCATGTACTACATACAAAAGTTTGAGCTGATGTAAAACAGGGGAAAGACAGGCACTTTCCATGACCATAGTTATTCATTTGTACTAGTAACACAGGAACTTCCTACTGCTAAATGGCAGTTAAATGAGACTGAGTTGGTGCACCTTGTTAACACAACTGTGCAGGACTTGCAGGTTGCTGGAAAAGGCAAATAAGATCTCAGGATGTGTGCTACTCAAATATACTACTATACCATTTCTGCAGACAAATAATACAAACTTGACTAAGCTGGAAATAAGGCACAAAATTAAGGATTTCTTTTTACTTCAAATATCTAATGAACTTCGGAAAATAAGGCCTAAACGGATTAGCTGTCAGATATATTAGTAAAAAGAGAAACATGACTATTGCAGAAAGAGAAAAAAATTAACCACTTACGACATACAAAATCTCTTTAAGACTTTTTGTAGGTTCATCTATTTAATCTTGTACTCTCCAGATCCCCTGTACATTCTCATCAAACATCTGATACTACTTTCTTCATTTAAGACTTGCTACCTTGGCATTACAAACTCTTCAAAGATACACCCTACAGCCCCATCCAATATATACCATGCTTTGCAAACTGCCCCCCTCCTCAGATTCCAACCAGTCTTTATCACCCCGTTATCTATAATCCTTCTTTATTCTTCCTTACAGTCTCTGTTTCCCTATGATTTATGGATTACAGCTAGCTCTGTCCGTGCTGGGAAGCAACTCAGCTGGCCTGGCTTGCCAGGGGCTTTCTGGCCAGCAAGCCCCCTCCTCTGTCCAATCCACTTCTCCATGAACCCTAGGAGCAGACGGAGCAGTGACAATCTTGGGGAAGGTCAGGACCACCCCATGTTTCTCCCCTTAACCAGTCAAATTCCCTGCTGCCCCCCACCCCCAATATTATTCTGTTTTCTATTAAATAAGTAGGCATCTGCCATTAACAGGCCAAAGAAGTATTCACTTTCTTTAAACAAAACTGTTTAAACTCTTAGAGCGATTTTTTGAAATACCTTACTACTTTTTTCCAATAAACATTAATTCCACATTTTTCACATTTTTAAAATAATATGACTCCCTATTACCATAAAGCCTTTTAATTATAAGGTTAAAAATCCGAAATTTTACTATGATGTTCATGTGACATTAATATTCCATAATGGAAACATCATTCCATGGCTGAAACAAAAGGATCTTTGTTAAAAATTGGACACTAAGAGATTAAAAGGTAATTACTTGGGGTAACAAAGACTAGATTTAAAACTCATCTAAGAATCAAAAACTTTATGCTTCGTATTGTTTTCTGCTTCTTTCTGCTTCTGCCATCTAAAACTTAGAGTAACTCACAGGAAAAAAAGTCTCCTAACTTCTTACATATATCACAAAATGCAAATTTATACATTATACTTGTGACAATCTATTGCAGTGTTATATGACAAAATCATTTTCATTTTATTTTTGAAAAAGCAATAAACACACACGTACCCGGCAACAGCCCAGTTCCTCTGCTGTTACTATGACTGTTCCACATTTCTTCCCAGGAATTCCTCTGTAAGAAAATACAACTACATCACCTCAGTTCCTTAGTATCATTTATGAAAGTTACAATTGACACAGGTAAGCACAAAGTAAGCTTTCAAGTCACAAAACTGATGGCATACTATACAGTTTTCCTTTTCTGTCACTTGCCCTGGGTAAAAAAGTTGGTTTACTCTAAGTGAATTGGTAAATGAGTTGCATATTTATTCTAACTAGCGAGAAACAAATCAGTTTCAATTTTACAGGAAATTGCATAAAAAGTTTAAATGGGATGAAATAACAACATCAGAAATTCTACTTTCCTCCCTCCCATTGATCTTTCATTTAGAGATGACTCTACAACTTAGAAGTTGAAAACCATCCATTTGCAAATTTTCCTTAAACAAATTACCTAAAATATACTTAAAACTATACACCAGCCTTATTTTACAGTATTTATTCTGGAATGTTTATGAAGACACATAATAATCTCACCACCGTATCAGAAACAGTAGTTGCAAAATAAATTATAATTCACCCAGACAGCAATTAAAAACATGCTGCTGCAATGCCAGAAAGAACAGAGCAGATTCTTAGCATGAAGAACAATGCAGAAACGGAAGACCCACACATAATCTGATAGTATTCAGTGGCAGCAGCCTTTTGGGGGCTGAGGAGAACAAATATTTAGATGCAACCCTTGCGTGACACTATACTACAAATGAGAAGTTCTGTAATATTGTAATGTCTATTAGTACGTCCATTAGCACACACTTTGGCAATTACTTCCAGATTTTTTTCAAAACTAATCCTATTGCTTATGCTCAGTTTCTTTCTAGTTCTTTATTTATTTATGTCTTTCTTGAAAATAATTAATTATTGGAATAAAATTACTTTCCAAGAAGACATTAAGGTAAAATTATATTTTTGTATTATTTAGTTTATAAGAGAACTAGAGGGCACTCCTGTTCTTCTGTTATGACAAAACATTAACGAGAACATTTACTCTTGTTCTTATTTCACTTTTTAGTTTCCTCAATCCTTTTGTAATTTTTTACAATGCTCTAGAACTTGAAAAATGTTTAGCAAGACTGTGGTATAATAAAGAACTGGTGGGAAAATAGTTCTTAAAAGCAGATAGAAGTTTAGAAATTATGAATAGAGGGAGCAAATACTGATGCAAATTTCTGAAAGCTCACTGAAATTCTTCTTTAAAAATTGATGTTTAAGTTTATAAGGAATACATCAGGGAATGCTGCTGCTATACTGTTGCAGTCATTTTCCAGTAATCAGAGAGCTCCCCGGTGTGTAGGGATGGGGTCAGGAAGGCCAAGGTGCAGCTGGAGCTGAACTTGGCAATGGATGCAAAGAATAGTAAGAAGGGCTTCTACAGCTATGTCAGCCAGAAAAGGAAGGTCAAAGAAAGCGTACCCCCCTTGATGAGCAAGACTGGCAGACTGGTAACAACTGGACAAGAAGGCTGAGGTACTCAACAACTTCTTTGCCTCACTCTTCACTGGCAGTCTCTCTTCCCACACTTCTCAAGGGGATCAACTGCAAGACAGGGACTGGAGGAGCGAAGTCCCTCCCACTTTAAGAGATCAGGTTTCAGACCATCTGAGGAACCTAAACATACATAAGTCTATGGGATCGGATGAGATGTGGGACCTGAAGAGATGCATTGCAGAGTCCTGAGGGAACGGGCTGATGTAGTTGTCAAGCCACTCCCCATGATACTTGAAAAGTCCTGGCAGTCAGGTGAAGTCCCTGGAGACTGGGAAAAGGGAAACACTGCACCCATTTTTAAAAGAGGTAGCAAGGAGGACCCTGGGAACTACCAACCTGTCAGCCTCACCTCTGTGCCTGGGAAGATCATGGAAGAGATCCTCCTGGAAGTTCTGCTAAGGCACATGGAGGACAGGGAGGCGATGTGAGACAGCCAGCATGGCTTCACCAAGGGCAAGTCCTGCCTGACCAACCTAGTGGCCTTCTATGAGGGAGTGACCATATCAGTGGACAAGGAACGAACTACCGATGTTATCTATGGTCACCCCTAACATCCTTCTCTCTACGCTGGAGATGTGGATTTGATGGGTGGACTATTCAGTGGATGAGGAACTGCTTGGATGGTCATATCCAGACGGTAATGGTCAATGGCTCAATGTCCAGACAGAGATCAGTGACGAGTGGTGTCCCTCAGGGGTCCGTACTGGGACCAGGACTGTTTAATATCTTCATTAATGACACAGACAGTTGGATCAAGGGCACCCTCAGCAAGTTTGCAGATCGCACCAAGCTGAGTGGTGCTGTTGACATGCCTGAGGGACGCAATGCCATCCAGAGGGACCTGGACAAGCTCGAGGAATGGGCCCGTGGGAACTTCATGAGGTTCAACAAGGACAAGGGCAGGGTTCTATACCTGGGTTGGGGCAGTACAGTACCAGTACAGGCTGGGGGATGAAGGGATTGAGAGCAGCCCTGCCGAGAATGACTTGGGGGTACTGGTGGATGAAAAGAATGCTCATGAGCAAGTAGTGTGCGCTAGAAGGCCAGCCATATCCTCGGTTGCATCCAAAGAAGCATGGCCAGCAGGTCAAAGGTGGTGATTCTGTCCCTCTACTCTGCCCTGCTGAGACCCCATCTGGAGTCCTGCATACAGCTCTGAAACCCTCAGCACAGGAAAGACATGGACCTGTTGGAACAGGTCCAGAAAAAGGCCACCAAAATGATCAGAGGAATGGAACACCTCTCCTATGAGGACAGGCTGAGAGAGTTGGGGTTGTTCAGCCTGGAGAAGAGAAGGCTCCGGGGAGACCTTATTGCAGCCTTCCAGTACTTAAAGAGGCCTTACAAGAAAGATGGGGACAGACTTTTTAGTAGGGCCTGTTGCGATAGGACAAGGAGTAATGGTTTTAAACTAAAAGAGGGTAGATTTAGACTAAATATAAGGAAGAAATTTTTTACAGTGAAGGTGGTGAAATACAAAATTTATGGCACTCTTCCATTTAATGTGGTATGACTTATAAAGTACAATACTTTAAGGCCAAATGGAGAATTTTCTTTAAATAACAGAAAAAAATAATCTGGTCATTCCAAATGTTACACGGTATGATTCACAGTTTCATCAGCATCTTCAAATCATCTAGTTTTAAAGCTGTCACCCTTCAACAGCTCATAACTGAAAATACTCATTTTAGCCTCTGTAGCAATGGGATATCAAAATTGAAATCTCAGATTTTCAAAAGATGAAATCACTGCATTTTTTCTTTTCAACAGTACTTCTTGAAGCTTCAAAAACCTTTGAAATTTGGTAGTAACAGCAGTAGTAGAAATGACTTAGTTATCAGGGTGACACTGACCTTACATGGTAAAATGTTTCAAGGAACAAATGACCATGACCCCAACTTTGACTGGGAAGGAAGAAATAGAAATCTCAGAAGTGTAACTAAAAAAACCCGTAAATTCCAGCACCACAATTCTGTAGGTTATGCCAACTCAAATAGAAAGCATTGGTAGAATTACCATTACCTGAATCAAATTCTTCGTACTGAAGTATTTGAGCCCAGTTCACTGTGCCATTAGGGACATATTTGAGATGTAGTCTGGGCAGTGACAGTACTTTGAAGAAAAAACATGAAGCATTTCCTTTGGTGTGAAAAGTCAAACAGATTTGTCACACTTCCAAGATTATTGCGTCAGATGCTAGACTGTGAAAAATACAACTCTGATCATCTCCTAAAGAGCTAGAGGCCTGAAGTAAACTGTTAGTAAGCAAGCCCCATTTCTGACAAACTGGTCATCAAACAGTTGCCATTTGATAGAGAACCTTGTGCTACCCTGTCTGCACTTACAATGCATGGCAGTCAATGTCTGCCTGTCTCAAACTGAGATTTGCACATGAAGCCATTTATGTGAAGACGTGCTTCATTTCATCTTATGACCATGAATGCCACAGGATGTCCAATCCCAAGACATAGAAGTGTCTGCAATTACCACTCTGAAGGATGAGGGAAACTGGAGAGGCAATCCCCTGAAGATATCTGGGTGGGTATGACAGAAAAAAAAGGGAATTCGTGATTGTTTAGTAGATGTGAAAAGTACACACAGTACAGTCATATCTGAAAGCATTTGGGGTAAGGTTTGGCTTGATGTATCACCAAGGTTCTCAAGGATGCATGCCTTATAAAAGAGGGGTAATATTACCATGATGAGGTGAAGTGTTTAGTTGAGATTAGCACAGAATTTCTCTACAGAACAAAAAGTTCTCATTATTCAGGAACTAAAAACTCTACCAAATGACCTCTACGTTTTGTGACACTATTAAGTATAAACTTTGTATGCTTGTCTTAAGACTACAATCATGAAAACCCTGAACCTGTAGGTGTTCTACAGTGATCACCTCTTTTTGGACACTATTTGAGGGAGCAAGCAATTTGACTGTTAGAGGAACCGAACAGAAGACCATCATCAAATGAAAGCATCAACAACACCTGCATGTCTCTAGACAAGATACAGTCTTGAGGAGTAATTATTATCTCCTTAGACAAATGATTCCATGATTGAGACACCACATTTGCAGCATCTAGAGAAGTTTGAAAGGACACTCTGAAGACCACTTGGGCTTTAACAAGGACTGAAAAGAGGACGTTTCCAGAGTTGGTGAAGAAGTCAGAGAAAGATGACAATTCATCTGGGAAGTCAAACCTGAGAGGTTGAACAGAGCCTCCAATTTTGCAAGCTGAAACTGCAATGAGGCAGAGGATGGAACATTTTTCAGATGACTAAAAAATTTACAGTCTTATCCCTGAATTTATAGAACCTAGATCTCTGGCAGTCACAACCACAGATAACAGGGCAGGACAAATATATAGGAAGTCCCAATTCCAAGGTTTAGATGTTTTTCTATCAATTACATTCACAGCAAGATGGCAGGGGAATGAACTTCCCAAAATAGGCCAGCTGGCTCCAGCACAGCCTCATTAGCAAGCAATGGCACTCAGATGTGAATAACTAGCATAGAATGTTCATTAA